TATCTAAAGGAATATTGACAACTGATTGCTGCTAGATGAGGAACAGCTGACCTTCCTAAAACCTAGTCTCTTTAAGTAGATATGTGAAAAATCTTGGCAAGGAAAAAAATAAGTTCTCTTAACATCTTACACTAAAATTTATTGAATGTACTTAACATAAGGTAATGATATTAGAAATTCTCTGGGTAGGACTAGTGTAACATAACAGCTGTAGGTAGGTTTGAACCCTGTGATTGTACTGGGAAAAATCTCTTCTAACTCTCTCATCTTTAATTTCATTGAAAAGGCAGGTGGCTATTTATAGATGATATATTTTTATATATGCATATGCAAACAGTGAATAACAGTCTAAAGGGCTTCAGGAAATCCTAGAAGGGAGCAAAAACACTCCAGTATGCACTTAAATAAACAATTCATAAATGTGTTCTATTTTTTTATTTCCCTTACTCAATGCAGTAAACTGGTTTCCAAAATCTGGTTCTTAAACTATTCTTAATATGTCTTTTCTTACCTCTAACCCATCTAACCAGTATTCCTCACATTTTGTAAGAAAGTAAACCAGTTAAAAGAGTACAGTTTGCCTGGAGAGATGGCTCAGCAGTTAAGAGCACTGGGTGCTCTCGCAGAGGACCTGGGTTTGGTTCCCAGCACCCACATAGCAGCTAACAACCATCCATAACTCCAGTGCTAGGGAATCCGGTACTCTCTTCTGACCTCCACAGGCATTGCATGACATGGGTGCACTTACACACAAGTAGGCAATACATTCCTAAACATAAAATAAAAATATTTAAAAGGGTACCATTAAAATGTCAGCTCTAGTAAACATACTGCACTTTTTATTTTTTTTGGAAAGATTTGTTTTTATTTTATATGTATTAATGTTTTGCCTGCATGTATATATGTGCACCATGTGTGTGCTTGGTGCCCACTAAGGCCAGAAGAGGTTGGATCCCTTGGAACTGCAATTACAGATAGTTATTAGCTGTCATGTGGGTGCCAGGAACCAAACCTGGGTCCTTTACAAGAGCAACCAGCTCTTAACTACTGAGCCATCTCTCTAGCTCCCATATTGTGCCTCTTAGTCTCTTTGGTTAACTTTTGTGTACATCGTTGTATGTGAGCAGTATGTTGTACCTATGTGCCTGTAGGTGCATGCACAGGTATGTGCATGGGTACATATGCACATGTGTATGCTTGTGGAGGCCAGAGGTCAGTGTTGGGTGTCTTTTTCTATTCCTCTCCACCTTAGTTTTTGAGACAGGGTCTCCCACTGAACCTACAACTCTTTGATTTTGCTAGAGTGACTGCCCAATGACACCAGGGATCCACCTGTCTCTGTTCCCCAAGTGCTGGAGTTACAGATGGGCATCACTACATTCCCAGCTTTTACATGTGTCCTGGAGATTCTAACTCAGGTCTTCATACTTGTGCAGCAAGCACTTGACTATCTCAGGCATCTCCCCAGCCCATTCTTTGGTTGTCTTTAAAAAAGAAAATAAAATTGTTTTGGAATTTTCTCAACTAATATCTTAGTGGTAGGGGAAAAGCAAGTTTGACAATAGTTTTTTGTATTCATGTTCAAAAAGCATTGATCAAACAGCCAGGCAGAAGGTACCAGAGGAACAGCAGATCAAAGTAAGAAAGGCAAAGCTCACCTGAAGTAACTCTAGACCCAATTCAGAGTAAGCAGTACATCCCCCAAGTGAGAATGAACAAATAACCATGGTGCCGGGCAAGTCAGGAGAGAGGCATAAATGACATTAGGTTAGGTATTTACTATTTTTTTAAATCATTATTTGACTTTATTCTCACAATTATTTCTACCCCCGAAGTTGAAAATAATTCCTATTTGAAAGATAGTCAGTGAATGATTGCTCACAATGGCTATTCTAACTGTATAGAAGGTCATTGAGATGTATAGAGTTTGGGACTGGGCAAGTATTTGTTTGAGTGGTTGCCTTAGCTGTGTGATATTTTTATTTATGAGTTCATTACAATAAAGTAATTTTGTTTTAAAGTTGGTGAGGTGTAGAGACACAGAAGGAATGAATTGTATCCTCACATGGACCATGGTACATTCTAATCTGCAGCCTGACCTTTTCCAAAGTGCTGTGTAGGTTAAACTCAGTCATTCACAGAGATGTCCAGCAAGAATGAGTCTTCAAGAACCCAGATTACATGATGATC